AGCTGACAATTGTATGCGTGCTCCCTTGTAGGTAACTGTTTTTCTCTTGTTGCTTTTAAGATTCTCTTTGTCTCTTGCCCCTGGTATTTTAATTATGATGTGTCTTGGTGTGGCACTCTTTGGATTCCTTTTGTGATTCTGTGTGCTTCCTGGTCTTGTAAGTCTATTTCTTTCACCAGGTGGGGGAAATTTTCTGTCATTATTTCTTCAAGTAGGTTTTCAATATCTTGCTCTCTCTCTTCTTCTGGCACCCCATAATTCAGATGTTGGTATACTTGAAGTTGTCCCAGAGGCTCTTTACACTATCTTCATATTTTTGGATTCTTTTTTCTTTTGGATGTTTTTTGCTTTTTTGAATTTCAAATCTTTGACTTGATTCTTGCGATCCTCTAGTCTGCTGTTGGATCTCTGTATATTATGCTTTATTTCACTCAATATGTGCTTAATTTCTAGTTGGTCCTTTGCAATATCTTTGAGGGTCTCATTAAATTTATCAGACTTTTCTAGGAAGTTCTTGAAAAACCTTATAATCATGGTTTTGAACTCTGCATCTTCCGTTTCTTTCATTTGTGACCAATTTCTTTGTCTCCACATTTTGGCTGCTTCCCTGAGTCGATAGAGTGGTTTTGTATGCTAGGTGTCCTATAAGGGCCCAGTGGCTCAGCCTCCTGTTACTTCAAGTGGACACTCTTGATATACCATATTTTCCGGCGTATAAGACGACCCCCTAATTTTAGTTAAAACGTAGGTTTAGGCCTATATTCACTGTATAAGACTACCCCCCACTTCAAAGAAAAGACTGACTTTGCCGTCAAGATCTGCAGGCAATTTTTGTGCAATTTTTGTTTTTGCCCTCGATATTCAGTTGACTTTTTTTTGTTTCAAAAGTCGTCTTATACGCCGGAAAATACGGAAAGTACTCCTTTGTGGGCTGTGTGCACAGTCTCGTTGAAGTTAAGCCTTGATTGTTGTTAGTATCACTGGGAGGAATTGACCTCCAGGCCAATTGGCTGTGAGGATCAGCTATGTCTACAATGGGAGAACTTCTATGCTGGAGTCACCTTATGAGGCAAAAGTTGCTTCAATGGGGCTTTGGTGCTCACTGAGCCTGCTCCCTGAGTGTGTCCCTGATGGATCTGAGGAGTTGTAATGTGGATGGTCCCACTCTGACCATTGGGTACACTGGCTCTTGGATCTCTGAGGTACTAATTTAGCCTCTGTCTGAGGCCACCCAGCAGGAGCTATGGAGAGATCTGCAGATTCCTTTTCTTTGGGATTTAGAGGTGCCCAGGTGTGGCCCAGCTGTGAAGCAATGCAAGCTGCTGTGGAGCCTTGGGCCTTCTTTTGGATGTTCTGGGTCTCTGTCTCAGCTGCAGTTTGTTAGGTAAGTTTAGATTTCAAAGGACCAGGCCATTCATATACAAAAGCCTCTGCAGCACAGCTTGGGTGGGGCGGGGTCTCAGAGGGGGGCACACAGCAATGGCTTCTCATCACCCCTGCCCTAAGAGGCCCTCAGGTCTGTGTCCGTTGGTAATCACTGTAAGCACCTCTGAAAGAAAGCCACCTTCAAATTCCACCCGCTGCCAGACAATTCAGTTTCTCCCCATATGAGTCTGGGTCCCCAGAGTCCCACCCGGAACTTGAGTTGAAAAAGACAGCAGTGTCCCCATTGAAAAAGACAGTAGCGTACTCACTTGTCAGCCCTTTCCACGAGTGCACACATGCCTCCGTACCCTGGGCTTTACTTCCTCAGCTCCTGAGTCTCAGTGTGCTTTTCTCTTTCCTTCTAGCTGTAGAATTTCCACTCAGTCAGCCTTCCTGTGGTTCTGGATGTCTGCTTTGTCTTTTAGTTGTAGTTTTGAAGTGGTTGTAGGAGGCAGCAATTTCAGGTGTTTACCTATGCCACAATCTTGGTTTCTCCCCATACTCCCCAATACTTGAAGTCTTTCTTCCAAAGGCAAGCATTGACTCACTCCTTACTTCTATGTATTGACTCACTCCTTACTTCTATTGACATCTCGCCTCAGCCACACCTGGGCACCTCTAAATCCCAATAAATGATATTTTGATTAGATTTTTAGACTTTTTTCTATTGACTTCTGATGATGGCAAGGATTTAGCTGTCTAATCCAACTATCCCGCCAGCTTCCACTTCCCATAATTTTTTTCTTTTTACTGAATAAGCGTTTGGCTTTTTAATAATATACTATAATTTCATTTCCTTTTTAAAAATTTCCTAAAATGGGTTATTTCCTTGTTTTGTGTTTAATTCATTGATAATTTCTGCATCTTCCTACTATTTTTCTTGGATGGAGGCATGTTCTAAATCAGGCGTCTTCAAACTGCGGCCCGCAGAGGAGTCTGATCCAGCCCGCCAGGTTTTTTGGGCAGTGAGCACAGCCAAGGTGTTACAGTAGGAATTAGTAGTTCATATAGTCCGGCCCTCCAGCTCTCTGAGGGACCGTGATCTGGCCCCCACTTTAAAAAGTTTGAGGACCCCTGTTTAAAATAATTCCATTCTTCTTGCTTAGAATTCTTTTTAGGCCTGCTGTAGAACTACCACTTTGGTAACCTTTCATCCTAGGAATCTTTTTTTCCTTTCCTCTAATTAGGATTCTATTTGCTGGATGTATTATTCTTTTTTTTTTTTTTTCTTTTTTTTTCTTCTAAAGGCATGTTTGCTCAGTAACTTTTTGGGGTTAGAAAGGCAATAGGTATGCCAACCCTCAAAATTTCTGTTATTTAAATATAGAGATCCAGTCTAACCTAGTTGTCCCATGGCAATTGCATTGCCATTGTGGGATCTAACTTTACCTTTGCCTCTCTCCTGTGTTAGACCCCATTTTCTGTATGTATAGCTTCCTTTTATTTTTATTTTTATTCATGCCTTCATTTTGAAAGAATGTGTGTTCTTCAGTAGCTTCTTGAGCAAGCATAGGTGGGAGGTGAAATTTTTGAGATTTTGCAAATCTGCGAAAGTGTTTTTCTACCCTCAAACTTACTTAATAGGTTAGTTGAGTATAGAATTCCAGGTGTCTTAGTGAAGGAGTAGACCCGATGTTCTATAGTTCAAACAAGATAGTTTATTCCTCTTTTATATTGACAGTCTGGAGGAAGCAGGCAGGAAGACAAGGTCCCCCCAAGCACCCAGTTTCTTCCCACCATTCCCTAGGTTGACGCTAAGCTAAGTTACCAGAAACACACCTGAATTCAAGCCCACAGGGAGGGGAAAAAGAGGAGTTGGGAAGCAGGCAATTTCCTTCAAAATTGTTGACAAAGTTATGCACACACTGCTCATGTCCTACTGGTCGCTGTGGGGTGAAGTTATTTTCTAGTCCATCTTTTACTTGGTGCACTGCCTTTTTAGGTCCCAGTTTTACAGAGATCTAGCTCCAATTTCCATGTGAGGGCTCTGGTATTCATTTTCTATTTCCCTGTGTGAAGCCCAATATACCCCAAAATTCCAGGCCCCAGGGATAGGTAGAGGGCCTAGCAGAACCATCAGCTTAAGCCCTAAGAGTTTTCCAACACTGCTGCCTACAAAGCCCTAGGTTGTCTGGCCTTTCCGTCTTGCTGCCCACATCTCCCCTTCTCCCTCACACACCAATCTCTAGCCCCGCTGGCTTCCTTGCTATCCTTAGAGGTCACCAAGCTCTTTGCAACCTCCTGGCCTTTTCACATGCACTCCCTTTAGATATCCATTTGGCTAGCTCCCTCCCCTCATTCTGCTCAGATGCCACCACCTCCAAGAATTCTGCTGACCACTGTGAGCCAAAATAGCTCCTCATCACTACCCACTACCTAGCTTTGACTTCCCCTTAGAGAACCCGTAACTACTGCCATGGTATTGTGAGTGCTTTTATTTATGGTCTAACTCTTCCACTAGTTATGAGCCTAGGTAGTTGATTTAAAAAGTAATTATGGGGAATGAGAGTGGGGAAGGGATATGGACAGCAAAGGAGGAGAAGCCAATATCAGGATGTGCTTTTGAGGAGACTCTGAATGGTGGCTTAGAACTCAGTCAGGGGAGAGAAGCCTGTATACTTTAGCTGTTGGCTCCTTTGGTCAAATGTGGCCCCCGATAGGTGTTTAATTTCCCTGCACTTTGGTTTGCACATGGGTCAGAGAAACTCTGGGACAGGGAGCAAGGGGCTCAAGCCTGAGGCAAGACCATGCCAGGCTGTGCTTGAGCACACCTGGTGGAAGCCCTCGTGGAACTGGTTGCTGTGGCAATGGCTACAGTGAGAGGTGGGGCCGAAGGACTGTGATAAGGGACCCTAAATAAATATACCCTGCACCATTCTTTCCCAAGTACTTAGATGAGAGGTCAGTACATAGTAAATAATCCATTAATATTTACTGAATGAATGAATGAATGGTGCTGCAGTCTATGGAGAAAAGGCAAGTAGTGATGTATTAAAGTGGGCTATAGGTTACAATAGAATAAGCACAGGTTATGCGGCCCAGAGTGGGAGGACAGAGAACTTTCTGGAAGAGATTGCCCTTAAGCTGAAATCTGGAAGATGAGCAGGAGTTCATTGCACAGCTGACTTATAAAACACTTGCACATCTAAGTACAAATATCAGTGACAGAAATCAAGGGTAACATTTACCAGGCTCTTCCCATGGACCACACACTTTGCTAATGCTGGATGGGCAGTTATTTAACCCTATAACATGTGGACTTTTTGATCCTTTTCACCCAGGGGGACACCTGAAGCTCAGAGAAGTCAAGTGACTTGCAGTGACAGGAATAAGATAACCATTTCTCCCCATTTTACACAGGGGTGACTGTGACTGAGGTTTAAAGCAGAGCAATGACATGCCCATGGTCACAGAAGTTGATAGCAGAGCTGGGACTAAAACCCAGGTCTCCCAACTCCTGGGCCTGTGTTCCTGCTCCAGAGCCGGCCAGACAGAACAGGCCCCAGGAAGAGTGAGGGAAGAGGAGGGTGAATTAAACATGGCCAGGCTGAGCTGGGTGGGCACTGCCTCCCCAGCTATTACCAGAAGAAGCTCAAGGAAGGCACCTGTAAGGCCCGAGAGATGGAATCGGCCATAGGCCGGCTGCGATCCCGGAAGAAGCTTCCCTACAACCTGCAGCAGGCAGACACCTTGGAAGTCCCAGAACGAAGGGTCCTCAGGATCCTGAACCGGCTGAAGCAGCAGAGCTACGGTGAGGGCCCTGGGCATGGTGGGGCTCTGCTCTCCTGCAAATCTCGCCTCGTCCCCTGGGCCCCTACAAAGTCAGAACCAGGCTGAAAGACATGGTTTTCCCCTTTGGGGTTAACTGCATCAGTCAATGGACTGATGGTCATTACCCCTTCTCCAGCCCGCTGACAAGGCCCTCTACTTGGACTCCTCCCAGTGCCTTAGCCCTGACCACAGGGTGGTCCCAAGAGCCGGGTGATCAGTGCTCTCAGCTCATCATTGATTGAGCACCCACTGGAACCACTCACTGCACTGGGATCCTTGGCAGATATGTTAGAATGTAATCCCCATAATCACATATTTACCCCATGTTACAGACAACTGAAACTGGGTAAGTTTAAGGAACTTGCCCAAGGATATGGATCCAATATGTCAGGGGAGTTTATACCCAGCTCTGACTACAACACCTGTGCTCTTTTCACTGGGCAAGGTGGCCTCCCCATAATAGTAGGTACCATTAGATTCCTACTGTGTGCCAAGTGATGGGCTAGGAGCTTTTCAGAGTCTAGAGTGTGCCTACCAGACTTTGCCAGGACCCAATGCAAGACACCTGCTTTTTTCAGCTGTTATTAGCACTCCGCAGTGCTCAGCTTTTAGTTGAATGCTTTGCATGTACTACCCCTTTAATCCTCATCATCCACTGTGAGGTGGGTACCACTATCGTCTCCAGCCTACATAGAGGCCTGGAGAGGTAATTTGCCCAAACCCAGCCAGCTCATGTAGCAAAGTCAGGATCTCACCTGGGTCTGCCTGCCTCCCAAGGCTGGGTGTATTCTGAAACATCCCCCTCTCTTGTCACCTCCTCTCTTGCCAGCTGCCAACCTGCAGAGCCCCTACGCCCAGGTGCCCTGCATCCCACTCTGCCCGAGGCTGGACAAGAAGATGGTAGGTCGGAACCAGTGCACCCCCACCAACCCGAGCCCTGACATCCACAGCCTCTACCTCCAGACAGGATCTCAAGGAAGCAGGTGGGTGCCCGAAGGGCTGGGGCCCCTGCCCGGGCCCATCCACCTCCTTCCTTCCTAGGCCCTTGGCCTGACCCAAGAATACATCCTTCTAAGAAGTGATGCCTGGGGGACTGTTGCTCCGGGGAGGAAGAAAGAGAAAGGGGGGAGTGGGGAGGGAAACGAACCTTTGTTGAAGGCCTGTGCACCAAGTGGATTATTCATGAGTCATGGTCCTTATGCCTTCCTGTGCCTAGGACTCAGGGGTACACACTGTCTTTCTCTTAGACTGGCACTGCCTGCCTTTCTCATCAGGAGCTTTAACACCCAGTCCTTTGCCCAAGTCTGGCTCCATGTTAGGAGTAGCAGGAAACAGACTTAGGGAAGCGTCCCCTGCAGCATGCCCCTTCCAGCGATCTGGACTCGGAGCCAGGCCCCTGAGCCTGACTGTCCGCTCACCACTTCCCCGTGAAGGCATCCTCTCTCCTTGGGCACATGGAGATGGAGCTTTTCCTCCCATCCTTCTCTCTAGGGAACACAGCTCTGACGGCCGAAAGTGGCTCAGCTCTGTGCCGGCTCGAACCCACTGACCCTATAGAGTCCTGACTCTAGACAGCTGTCTAAGACCTGCAGGCAGATAGGTCATCGGGCAGGTACCGCAGCTGGATTTTGCTTTTGTGGCCTGGTAAGCCAATAAACACCAAGAACCTCAGCCTTTGTGCCTGGTGCTGGGCCCCTGCCCTCTGGGCACTCACCTGCTTCCTGGTGCCAGGGAAGGCCTCCACTGGGCTCTTAGGGCACAGGGCCACAGCCTCCCTCAGGCTTGGGAGTCCCTCAGGCAAGATGTACCTCAAAACCCTGCCCAGGGCTGGGGCTCTGGCTGGACGTGGCCCTGGGTGCGAAGTCTTGATCTTATGTGTACTCTTGAAGGACAAAGCTGGGATTTTCCTCAGCTGAGGTTTTCCTTTTGGATTAGGAGCCCCCCAAGGGCAGGAATCTCCTTGCTCAAAAGGAATGGTGAACATAGGGAAGTACCTGGAAGACCCCAGCCCGGAAAGGGGCAGACCCGTGGAAGAGAGGAAGGGCCTTGCCCATGTTCCCAACAGAGCCCCGGGGACAAGGGACCCGCTGCCCTGGGAGCCCGAGGGAGTGGATCCGTACCCCCAATACACTCACCACCTCAGACCTACTTCTCTAACGAGAGCGAGCCCCTCCTTGGGACGGAGCGGAGGTAGCTCCAGTGGTTAAAGCAGCAGCCACAGCAAGAAGTTAGGAGGCCAGGGACTGAAATGAGGACAAGGCTCTGACAAGTTTAAAACATGTATTTAAAATACAATTTATAAAATGCTTAATCTGCCGACTCAGGAGCCCGCGGTGCGGGGTGGGCAGCTGCCCGCTAGATTAGCAGAGCAGGACTGCAGGGGTGCAGCCCTCCCTCCCATGCCCCAGGGGCCCATGTGCACCCTTGGAATCACATGGCCAGAGAGCAGGACCCCAGAGGTTTCCAGAGCCTCTGCTTAGCAGGGAGGATGGGGTAGCCCTACCGGCCCATCCCTGAGCAGAGCACCCCCAGATGGGGCAGAGCAGGGTATGGCTGGACTGGGCTGGGCAGGGCAGGGCGGGGCAGTGGGCTCTGGAAGGGGTTGATGGTAGCAGATAGGGTGTTGCCTCCTGCCTGCAGGTGGGGAGCACCCTGACTGAGTGGGCTGAGAAGGGTTGGTCACCAGGCCCAGACCCCCAGCTCCTTTGGTTATAGGCTGACAACAGAGTAGTGGCTCATGGGAAGCAGTTAGCTGGAAGGTCTGAGGCCTGGCTCATGGGGTCAGGGAGGAGCTGGGGGAAGGGGACAGTACCATGAAGGCAGATAAAGGGGCAGCAGCCTCAGGTTTCTGCCCCCCATACCCCCCTGGGGTTTTCTAAGCCAAAGCCCGCAGCTTACTTAAAAAAGTTAAAAAAAAAAAAAAAAAAAGCACTTAAGGAAAGTTACAGACAGCTACCAACACACACACACACACACACACACACACACACACACACACACCCCAAACCGTTCCGTTCTCCCATCTCCCTTCCCACCTCCCCCAACACAACAGTTCACTGTTTTTGTTTTTCTTTTTAAAAAATTTGCTACCTCTCCATCTGGGAAGCCAAGGAGGTACAGGCACACAGTGGGCAGAGCCCCATCTTTGGCCAGAGGAGGTGGGAGCACCAGTCCCTACTAGATCCTCAATCCAGAGACACCCATCAGCCAGTCTTCCCTCTGGCTCCATTAGGGGAGGAGGCAAGAACAGGTCGTCCCAATGGCTGGGCAATCATTTCCATCTGGCCTACCTCTGGCCCTTCTCCATCTGAAAGGACAGTCTCACTTTGGGCCAGAAACCACTATTACAGGAGGGATGGACACTACATATTTAGAATGAGGAAACTTGGTCAGGGCAGTGGAACTAGAAAGACAGCAATCAACCTTCTCCCTTGCCCACACCTGGAGGTAATTTCCTGCCAGAATAGTCTACGGTCACAACTCAACCACCTGTAGGTTCTTACTGACTGAAGCTCTGTTCCAGCTCCGCTCACAGACAACTTCCTTGCTTCACACAGTTACAAAACTGTGCTGCGGACTAGTTGCTGATTCAACTGACAGCTGGCCCTTCCTTCTAAGGGCAAAATGTAGTGGGACATGGCTTGCTGAGCCTGGCCTACATTCCCACAGGGCAACCAAGAGCCAGGTGAACAAAGGTAGAGTGGGACTCCAAAACCTAGCTTGCACCTTGGCCACCACAAGCTGCCTTAATCACTAAAACATCACACCCACCACTCTAAAACTCATCCACCGAGTGGGAGGCTGTCTGGCTAGCTGGGGGATAAGGCGCAGTGCAACAGGAGAGACCAGAGAAAGCCTGAGAGGGCTAGACTGTACACACACACAGCTGCTCTGGTCAGCGGCCCTCTTAGTCTCTTCCACCTCAAGGAGCCAAAGCAAATCCCCAGGCTCCAGGGAGAGAGGGGAAACTGCCTTTATTCCAGGGCTTTGCTCTGGAAAAAGCGTGAAGGGTGGCCTAGGACCATGGGGAACCAGTCTGCCATCACCAGTCTGCAATGCACAGCTTGTCTTTTCCCGTATGTATTCAGAACGGTCCGCTCCCAAGGTAGTGATTTCACAAAGGAAATGTACCAGCTATAGTTACCGAGCTGATGCCATCCCTGGAGATGGCACTCCACACACACCTTCTGACCACACGAGGCAGGAGGCTGAGCCCTGGAGCCAGACTCTCCTGGCTTTCCTTGTGCTGACAGCAAAATACTGAGCAAGCCTCGCACCACTGACTTCTAAGCTCGGGAGTGCAGTCTCACTCCCTGCTCTCTTCTCGAAGGAGCAAGCCTGGCTGGTAGGGAACCACCCTGAGGGGCTTGGGAAGGGAAAGTCTGTTCACTTTCCCGTCTCCCAAAATACTAGAGGTGGGGTTGGCACCCTCCCCAGGCTCTATGAGCCTATAGAACGAGCCCAGTCTCCAGGTAGGGCCATGATGCCCTGGGACTTAGCTGGGGGGAGGGAGGTATAGGCATGGGGTGCTCGTCTGTCCTGGCGGCTACAGAGCCCTGCCCCTTTCCTGGGCGGCAGTAGGAATACAGAAGCTCACCAAAAACCTATTGGTTAATGTTTCTAGTACATTTCCCAGAAACATTTTTAAGTAGACTACCAAACTACCCTTTCTTAATTAAAAATTCATTAAACTGCTAAAAACCCTTACCATGCACTTTTTTTCTTGCAAATCAGATATTTGTATAAACAAACAAAAATAGGAAGAAAAAAAAAAAAAGAAAGGATAATTTTCAAATGGAACTTGCTTTTAAGTGACGACGACATGCACTTGGGGGTGGGTGGATGGGAGTTCTCATTTGTTTTGAAATCCCAAATTAATGAGCATGATAAACTGTTATTGCTGGCACTGGCTTTACCCCAAGTGGCCAAGTGGCACTGTCTGACTCTCTACTCTTAAGTCCCCTAACCCCCATCCTTTCCCTTTCCATTGACTTGGGACAGCCCTTGTAGACATGCCAATCACAGTGGGAAAGGGGGCAAGGGGGAGGTCACAGTGCATGGGGTTCAAGGTCACAGTGGGAGGAGCAAAGGGGATCACAGTGCAAGTTAATCAGGTCCTTCCCTCTGCTCAAGTCCAGTTGTCTGCCACGGCAGTGTGACCCATGGCGGACGACCCAGGAGGTGGTGACGGCGGCATCATTCTTTCTTGCCCACATTTATCTGCGCTGTTTGAAGCCTTGTGACCCATCAGGACCCAAGGGCTGTCTGATCACATTATTGGGCTGCCTGCTGTCTTCGGGTTGGGAGATCCTGGTTGGCCTGAAGGGAAGAAGATCAGAGGGAGGCCTGAGAAAGGGTTGAAAAGAGGACTCCAAGTCTTAAAACCAACCACCCCTGCAGCTGGGACAGAAGTCACAGCGGCTATTAGCCAACTCTGGCTCCTGAGCTTGATTCCATGGCAAGTGGACTCAGAGCACCTCCAGGTTGGAAAGCTCCTAAATGGGGCAGGTGGCACCTGTAGCACTTGTCCCCCAGGTCTGGCTCACTATCATTCATCTGGAGGCAGGGGGAATGCTCAAGGGCCAAGCTGTCCAGAGGCAGTGACCATGGACAGTACACTCCCCTCCCCCCAGAAAAAAGAGCACAGATTTTCCAGAGCTTTGGGTCAAGGTAAAGACTCCTAACCCAAAGCTCAACAGTGAGCCAGCACCTGCCATTGCTTCCCTCCTGCTTCTCTGCAAATCACGTGGTTAATGGTGACTGACATTAATGTGAAAGACTAAAGGAAATGGATGTTTTCTTTGTGCCAAGTGAACAGTTAGAGGAGAGACAATGGAGCCTCAGGATAGAAAGAAGGTACACAGATTAGTTCAAGTGCCAGATTATCAAGCCCAAGAAGGTCTCTCAAAGTTAGAAAGAGATTGTTTGAATAAATACTGCTTTATTAGGAGGTAACAAACAAGTACAATTTCTAGGACTTCAGAGAAACCATCATGGGTTATTATGAGGACCAGAAGAGAACAAACACGGAACTGGGCACTTTCCATTGTGCCAGGCAGGGTTCTCAGAACCCTATGCTCATTTAATTGCACAACAACGTGCAGGTACTATCATAATTCCATTTTCCAGATTAGTCTATGAAGACACAGAGATCAAGCAGCTCTAAAGTAAATAGAAGTGGCAGATTTTGACTCCAAGTCCTTGCCTTTAACCTCCATACCACATTGTCCCCTGGTGTCTGCCAGCGAACCACCACATCCTCAAATCTTGCAGAATAGTAAGGCAGCCAGTGCAGCACAATGAACTGGCTCAATGGGCTGGTGGACAGCTAGAGCTGCACTGGTTCTAGCCCTGATTCTGCTTGCTTTATTCATCTACTTGCAGCCAAGATCCATCCTTCCTTCCTTCCTTCCTTCCTTCCTTCCTTCCTTCCTTCCTTCCTTCCTTCCTTCCTTCCTCCCTCCCTCCCTCCCTCCCTCCCTCCCTCCCTCCCTCCTCCTCCTCCTCTCCTCCTCGTGGCCTGGTGGGGTGGTCCACAGTCAGCCCTGCCAGCTACACTCACCTGTCGAGGATGG